GGACTAAATGCACAAGACAAGTTGAACACAACAGGTAACAGGTGATCACAATCGGGGATTCACACGAGGTAATGAAGGGGCGTGGCACACATCAGGATCGGACGGAGCGGATCGTGACACATGACAAATTTATCCACAGATTATTTTGATTGGATGGCAAGATAATTACAGATAAAACTGCTATGTATTCACTCAAAACCTTCTACCATGAAAGAAGTAGGCCTACTGAACTATGGATGTGTATTGCCTGGGTACATTTTATTTTATCATGGTGGCAGCAATGCACCACTCTATTACTGTACAGAACAGAGAGACAAACAAAAAAACAATGTCATTTTTCAATTAGAAGTCTAGATAATTATTCATTCCTCTCTTGGCTCAGAGAAAATACTACCAATACTGCTACTTATGTGATGCTATTTTTGGTTAGTTTTGAAATAGAATGGTGATCCTTCACATCATAATATCGTTGAAATTTTTGTGTATAATGAGCCTGCAACTTGAAGGGCAGAGAGGCAAACTGTTTCCTGCCATGAAGGGTTGGAAGCCTACCTAGGGTTGCTGCCATGCTGTATGCCTGTGGGGTAAGTTGACTAAGAGGTGAGGTATAGCTGATCCCAGAAGGCATATGTCATATGGCAGGAAAAATCACCTATCTAATGTTTTTTTGACTCTCAAATCTGAATTTCAGAATTATCTACATAGTCTGTGTTTATTCTGACCCCAAACTGAACTCATCAATGTGTTTACATAGCTTTGGGCTTAACAAAATTAATTAGATCTTCTGAATTAATTTCTACTAAATTACATAAATCTGTTGCTTTTTGAAATGCACACTATTAGTTAAAATTAAGGTTTTCATTGTCAGCAGAGGGCAGTATATCCTCAAAATGTGCATGTAATCTTACAGGGCCAACAGAGTTTAAGCTTGCAAATTGACTTGTAGTTTCCCATGAATTTATCACACTAGTGACTATTTTATATTGCACCATATTACACACACATACTCACACACATAATCATACTCTGTGGCCAATGCAGAGGTACTTGTTTAAAATGATAATAATAAATTTTAAAATACAATAATAATAATAATGTTATCAGTTTAGCATGGAGATCTCAATCTCCCAATCTCAGGGTCACTCTACATCCCAGTGTTTTGTCACACACCTGCATATAATCTGCAGGTGATGGCTGAAATACAGATTGTACACATGTGCATGTCAAAAGAACTGGCTGGTACACATATTTGTGTATACTGCACTATGATCCTTAAGGCATGTAACATATCAGATAACCAGAAAAGCTGCAGATGTATATCACAATGGTAAACTGCTTTTCTACAGAATTATAAAAGAATTATTATACCACCAGGGCTGGAGTTTGAATGTGTTAATCATGTGTCAACTTTTATATGTATTGAAAATGTCAGTCTAAAGCCATTTCTTGTGTTTCTCTTTTAACTATAACTGCACATCCACACATTCCTTTGGTACCTTTTTGCTGTTATGCTTCAATGACTGATACAGAAATTCAATGAAAGAAAAACAGATGTGTCATTTTAAAGAGAGTTTGGAATTCAGGGAGTGGAGATAATCTATGTGCACAATACAATTTTTGTTTTTATCTAATTTGCTACATAGTTATGAGTTAAAAGTGTGATAGTCATAGAAGACAACATAATTGAAGCAAATAGAAAAAATATTTTTACTTATATGTAAGTCATGCTAATGTGTGTTTCTTTCCCAGTTATTCTTCAGAAGTTCTTAAAACACTGTGAAATTTTCTTGCCTATTAATTATTTCTATGCATATAATACTTCAGTGATACATAGTTACATCTAATACATGTTGATGATATTTCTATAAGAAAACATTTATGGTATACACTCACCTAAAGGATTATTAGGAACACCATACTAATACGGTGTTTGACCCCCTTTCGCCTTCAGAACTGCCTTAATTCTATGTG